ATATACATAACTTTATTATGAATGACTGTAAATATCTACATTTTTTTAACTGATTTAAATACAGTAAAATGAAAAATGTTTAATTGTAAGTTTGCATTTAAATGTTATAAATGACCAAATCTCATACTACCATGTTTAGATATTTAATCTACGTCATTTAATTATAAATGACAACAAACCTCTGAACAATAACAATGACTGAACTGATTTAAATACAGAAAATAATAAAAAAACGACCAAATTACTATTTGTAGAGATGTTTGATGTTGACATTAGTTCTGGTTTTTGCTGTTTTTGTTTGTGTTTTATGGATGTTTTCATGTAAATTAACTATAAAACTTGACTTTTGTCAGTTATTGTGTGTAACTGAACAAACAGGAGAATCTGTAAGACAACAGTCAGCTGTTGAAGAAACGACGTGTTGCTGAGTTCTTCTGATCTGTCTTTATCTTATCTTTGTCTACAGGTTTCCTACTTCGAGGTGGGGAACCTGAACACCGAAACCTACCCGGCGTCCGCAGACCTTCCTGTGTATGTCAGGGAGAATTATGGGCTGGACGGTAACTACGGCGACCACAACAGCGACCGCATCATCATCAGCTACCAGGCGAGGAGCCGGGTGGTGGAGGCGGTTTACGTCACCGAGCACGACGACAACGCCTTCGGGAGGTTCAGAGCCGACCGGACCTTCGAGATCAGCTGCAGTCTGATCCGGGTCCTGCAAAACCAGCAGCTGGACGTCTCCTCCCTCCTCGCCCACACCGGTTACTATGACGACATGCAGGAGACGCAGCCTGGCCTGGAGCCGTCGGTTCAGGAGGTGTTCGACATGATGCAGGCGCTCAGCAGAGACCGGTTCTTCACAGGAGACTTGGACCGCTTCATGGAGCCGTTCAGCTTCGACCAGCAGTGGACCTTCGTCACGACACCGAGCAGCAGCAGCACGGCCGTGGCCCGGTGCGGCCAGGTGAAGCCCAAGAAGCCCAAAACCAAAAAGAAGCCCCGAGGAGTGAGGAGGAGCGACTGGGAGCCCAACTGGGAGCCCAGCTGGGAACCCAGCTGGGAGCAGCGATACCGAGGTAAAGGTCCGGTCCGCTGTCGGGCCGCCTCACACTGGTTTAATCAGATGTTAAAGCGTCACTTCATCCAGGTGTCGTTTTTTCTCTGATGTCTGGCCGTGCTGAGAGTTTTAGGTCCGTTTATGCAGATTTCTGACCCTGAATGAGGCTCGTAGAGCTGAAAGAAAACCAGATAACCTTCAGATGGTCACAAGTCAGCGATGGACTTTTAAAGGTTTTAGTTCTGCAAACCAGTTCACACTCAGCTCCACCTCGTTCAGGATGATTTAAACCTCTGAGACTCTGGTTACATTTGGTTTCAGAAGTGCAAAAAACAAAACTAAACAACCACCAGAGATCCAAGAAACTGAAACCCCCCAAAAATAACGAGTTTTGACAACTTCTTGTGAAATTAAAGCAACAAGCTGCACATGTCAGGTGTTCCTCTACAGTCACAAGTATTTTTATTTACTTGGCGATGGGAGCAGGGACACCAGTCATGATTACTCCTAAAGATGACTCATATTTCCACATTAGTTAAGCTTTCAAGTTGACAAATTTTAAAATGTAGCTGCTCCAATTAGTTTGTTTTCAGTAGTTTTCGGTGATTTAATGTTTGATCTGAGAGCAACAACTACACAAATTCATCACAAACTCTAAACAAACATGAAGAGTTTCCTGCAGCTGAGCAGATTTATCAGATGAAACTTTCAGATTCTGATCCACTAGTTTGCTAAACTGAAGGACGTGAGGGTCAAATTTAAATTACTGGTCACATCACAGCTGAGAATATTCCCCATTTGTTTGTGATGTTCACCTTGTGTCACGTTTGTTCAGGCTGCAGGTCCTTTAACACGCAATCTGAAACACCTGAAATGATCCAGGTGTGTTTATGAGATAGAAGGAAGACAATCAAATCATTAGAATAAAGAGTTAAAAGACAACAAAAGTCCAGGTGTGAAGTAAGAACAATTTAGTTTGTCAGTTGTAAAAGTAAAGATAAAGTACACGCTGATGAGAGCAGTTCTGTTAAAGCCGGAGTTTGACTCTGCTTGATCATCAACTTCTGTCTCCACTCTGCAGAAGAACCTGAGAAGAAGAAACGAGGAGGAGGAGGAGGAGGAGGAGGCCTGGGCCTGCTCAGGATGCTCCTGGGAGTCGGGGCTCTGTACCTGGCGTTCAGGTGCTTCGGCTGGTGGCGGAGGATCTGCTGGGAGGCCGACTGGATGAAGAACGGCCTCAGCATGATGCCGTGGAGGGTTCAGAGTCGGTCGCCGGTGCACGTCATGCTGGACTACGTGTACTAGACCGTCATATGTGTGTCACAGGTCATACGTCGCACTTCTGATCCTCTGAAACACACATGAAACTGTCAGAAGTTCTCCATCAGTTTTCCACACTGGAAAGTATTTAAATGATGATCTTCTAAAGATCTTGAAGGTGATTCAATCCGCCGACGCTCCACCGTCGCCGGCCATCCTCCGTCTCACTGGTTTTTATTTAACGTGGTGAATGCTGACTGAGCGGATCAGTTTTACAGTTAAATGTTCTTAAAGAAGGTGAGTTGTGTTGGTTTTTGCATCGTTTTAAGAGCAGCTGGAGTCCTGATATTTTATCTTCTCATTGATCTGAACATCTGGTCTTCAATGGTTCAACCTGGCTTCCATCCATCCATCCATCTACCCACCCTGAGCCTATCTTAGCTGACTCAGGGTGAAGGCAGGTTCACCTGGACAGGTAACCAGTCTATCACAGGGCTACACTTAGAGACAGACAACCAAGCACACTCACATTCACACCTACGGACAATTTAGAATCACCAATTAACCTCAGCATGTTTCTGGACTGTGGGAGGAAGCCGGAGAACCCGGAGAGAACCCACGCTGCACGGGGAGAACATGGAGACTCCACGCAGGAAGATCCTGGGTGTCCTCACCGGGACGCCAACCGGCGACCTTCTAGCTGCGAGGTGACGGTGCTAACCACCAATCCACCGTGCAGCACCAAACCGGTTGTAAGCGGTCAAACATGTCCATGTTTCTGTCTCCTCTGATGTTCCACCAACCATAAATTGTTTATTTTTCCCCCTGTGATTGGCACCGATAGGAGCTTTATGAATACATAATATGGTGCCATTCAGAAGCTTAATTTGTGAGGAAAAAAAACATGTTAAAGTTATTTTTTTTTGCATGTGTGGCCCTTATTTGAACATGCAATGAAAAAAACTGGCAAGAAAAAAAAACGATGCACAAATCAACACGACCCCACCGTCTCTGTGCATTTATATTACAAACCCTGCAGACTTTTACGTGTTTTGCTCAATAACATACGTGTGCACAGAAAACAAAACAAATCCAACAAATCTGAGGCGATCAGGCGTGAACTTGTAGAATCTGGTGAGTTGAGGCGGAAGTTTTAATTTTAAGATTGTAAAAAGCTCGACCATGTTTTTATTTTTTATTTTTTTAAACACTGAAATGAAATGTAGAAACTTGTGTTATTCCATTTTGTAAAGTTGATGTTTGTCGATGGAAGCTGGTGTTTAAAATCACGCAGGACTTGAATGTAAAATGTTTTCGTGCAACATGAATTCATGTGAGAAGCTGGAAACGTGATAAACGACACAAAAGTTTTAGAAATGTACCCGTATCACAGTATGGCTCTGAGTTTTATGTCACACTCAGCTGAAAGACGAAACCCTGCTCAGCAAAACCAGGAAGTATTTAATAAAGTTCTGTATAGAAGTCAAAAGCAACATTTACACATCTTCCACTGTACAGACATTTACAAGACAGCCGGTAAAAATAAACTTAGATTCACTTTTACATCCAAAGTCTGTCCTTTTGTTCGAGCTCCATGTGCAGAAAGTCGCACCGACGAGGATTAAAAAGGACAGAAACTAGATTTAATAAAGTCTGTCTGGTTGATAGAGGCTCATTTCATACATAGAGGCAGTTTAAAGAGATTCACATGGTGCATTCAAATGATTTAAAGCAACTGTGTAAAACATTTTAAAAACCAAGAGATTCAAAGATAAGTAGACTTTCAGTGAGCTTTGTCTTATTGTGTGCTTTAGCCAAATGTTCAGAATGAACGCTCATGAAAACCTGTGAACTGTGTTGATGTGAATAAAGGAACACGAGAAGCCACGTTTCTGTTGGTGGTGAGTTTTTATCTGCAGCTTCTTGGCTCTGGTGCTGCTGAGGTTCTATAAGGAACGCAACAGCAGATGGCGCTGTGTTGTTGTTGAGCTGAAGCCTTCAGGAAGCAGCTCAGAGTGAGAAACACAATGCATTAAATTTAAGGAAATGGTTCATTATTGTTTACTTCAATGCCAACACAACGGAGAGCAGCTCCTCTGGTCTTAGTCCCACACAGGTGGATCATCTGGTTGGTAGAACTGCAGCTTTACTGCCTTCATCAACTGATGCTGTTGCCTCATTGAAAAAGAAGCCAATAAATTATCATAAAACAGCTCCGTGGTCTAGTCAGCAGCTGTGCATCTATAAACACAAAACTAAGAAGGTTAGAAAGACAGTGGAGCTCTACAAAGTCAGAAGAACCTCATCCAGCCTGGAAAGACAGTTTCCTCTCCTGTAAAACAGTGATCCCCCCCCCCACTCGAGGCAGATGGCCGTCCTCCCTGAGCCTGGTTCTGTTGGAGGTGACCACTTGCTCAGAGGAACAGGAAGTCCATTTACTTCCTGTTCCTCTACTTTGGATTGTTGGATATCTCTGTTTAAATTTGTAAGCTCCATACCTGACTTTGTTAAGCGCTGTGTGATAACGTGCTGTAAACTGCACTACACAAATAGAATTGAATTGGATTTTCCTATAAATACCAGAAACATGAGATGAACCAGCTGAAACAGACGGCAGGTAGAAGGTGTTGTCTGGAAACAGCAGGTCCAGACTGAGCCGAGGCCACTGATGTTACTGAACCAGAACCAAAGCTGATGCAACACAAATGAAGCCCACTGGTGGAAGTCTGTTGTTTGCTGTCAGACGTTGCCATCAGAGTCTGGCAGCACCAGGCGATAAACCCCCAAACAGTCATGAGCTGTCATCAGATTGGAGCGATCAACAGATCCTGATGAATCCAGTAAGTTCTGTTTCTGTAGAAGGAAAAACACAGAGAGTAAGCAGTGGAGGGAACCAGAGGTATTCAGAGGTAACCAGCCAGAGTTTCTGATCAGTCTGTGGCTCCACTGGAGGAACTCTTCCACCCTTCAGGTCCCTGTACTGGGACCACACACTGTCTGATTGTAAACTGCAAACAAAACCCATTTCTAGACGGTTAACCAGTGAAAGACTTCAGCAGTGAGGCCACCTGCTGCTGCTGCTACTGTTCTGTGCAGTGACACAGTTAGAATGACGGAAACCATGAACAGAAGGAAAAAAGTTCTTTTTTGGAGCATTTTACAAAAATGGAGAAAATCTGTGATCAACATGTCCAACATTTCTCCAAGCGTCCACAGATGTTACCAGCACTGGGAAAATGGAGTGCAGGAAATGAAGCAGTGATTCATTCAGAAATGCTGGTTTGGGAGGTTTGCCACAGCAGATCCAGCGGTACTGATCCACCGCTGGAAAGAACAGAAGACCCACTGGCTTACTGACAGCAACATGAAAATGTGAACCATCATTTGTTTAAATTAGTAAAGCAGTTGTTATGCACCCCGGCATCATCTGTGCCTAGTGAGAGAATATTGTCCAAATGTGGAGAAACTGTAAGCATAAGAACAAGAATCCTGGATTGTTCTCCATCCCATAGAATCACCCCTCGCCATCATTACACCACACTGTCCTCAGCAACACATTCATCAGTCTCTGTTTGTGAATAAAACCTTCATGATCAAAGCAAGGATGCTTCAAAACAAAAGGTCTTTTCTACGAAAGTAAAGTGGTTTCTCCAGCACTGCTCACTGAGGTGTGTGTGTGTGTGTGTGTGTGTGTGTGTGTGTGTGTGTGTACAGTCGTCCTTATATTTATTCACACCCTCCAGTTAAAGAAGGAAATCAACAGCTAACACTGAAATAAGTTGAAATTGTCAAACGTAATAATAAACACAAATTTAAACTATAAACTAATATTTGGTTGAACAACCCCGTGAGCCAATCACTGCCATCAGGTTTTTTCTGTAACTCTCAGTCAGACTTCTTAAACGCCTTAAACTCTGATCTGAACTGTTCAGCTTAGACTCTATCTGCCCCTGGGTCGTGTTTTTTTGCCCCTGGGTCTTGTGTTTGCTGTGACCACAGTTCTACCTTCAGACTGTGAATGTTCCAGAGGTCCAGGTCCTTCAAGTCCACAGAGGAGGGTCCAGATTGATCACTTTAATGGACTTTTTCCATCATTTCTGAGCCTCAGAACTTCATCAATGCAGCAGATAAACACATGACATGTAGGAGGAAGAACACATCTGAGCGTTTTGAATCATTCCAGACGAGCTTACAATCATTGTGGACATTTTTCACAACACTGGACAGATTTAGGACAGAATTTCTGAGTCATTCTGGACATGTTTGTGATTTTGAGGCATTTTTAGCTAATTTAAAGTCATTTTAGACAAATTCTTAATCATCAGGGACCTGCATCGAGTAATTTTGGACATTTTTCCATCATTTTGGACAGATTTTGCACAATTATGGACTTTTTAACATCATTGTGGACGAACTTTATGTCGTTTTGAACTTTTTTGAGTCATTGGGCAGATTTCAAAGAATTTTTCAACATCTGATGGACATTTTTGGACTAATTTTGAGTTGTTTTTGACTATATTTATTCATTTTTGGACCATTTCTGAGCCTCAGAACTTCATCAGTGCAGCAGACTGTCAAGTGGAGTCAGGTTTTGAGATCCCAGACACAGCCACTAACAAAGAACTCTGGCTCTGCTGTTAGCAATATAAAAGACTTTAATGATTTGAAATATTATATGCTGTACTGCAAATGTGACAATTGAATGTTTTAAGTAATGATTCTTAAATGAACCTTTTATAACCAGACAATCAGTAGTGTTAAAGTTAAGTTGATAAAAATCCATTCGTGTGAGTTAGGGAAAGTTAGGTAGTTTCCAGAGCTCGAGGGCAGGGACAGATGTGTGTATGAGAAAAGTGTTCTTGAGAGCAGAGTGAGGCAAGATAACTCGTGATGAGCTGTTGAGTCACCGGAGGTTAGCAAGTTGAGCTCAATGCTAAAGTAGCCACGTTCCTCTTTTTAATAAACGGAGGATCCTCTTTTCATAAACAGAAGGCTATTAGACTTCCTGTGCCTGCCAAACTATGCTCGTTCCGGTCACCATAAATGGAGTTGGTGTGTTGCACTGAAGAGTGCAACACCTTATGTCTATGTGTGTGACAATGTATGAGTGTATTTTATGTGTACTAATAGTGTGTATCAGTGAGTGTGTATTATTAAGTAATCAAACATTGTGTTTATGGGAGAGAGAGCCGTAGAAAAAGTATAAAAGACACTGACAGAGAGAGATTTGTCGGAGATCGCCCGGGGATGACAGAAAGCTCAGCTGGACGTCAACCTGCACGGAAGATGGAGAGACGGATCGGGAACACTTAGAGTTCTTGGAACATTTCTCAGTTGACTGTGTGCGCGAAGAAGAAGCCGCAACAAGACTGCAACACAACTGAAGAGGAGCGGCAGAACCCTTTTCTGTGTTCTGCCAGAAGAAACACCTTCGCCTCATCGTCCAAACAAAGATCCAAACAGATTGCAGTTCTAAATCGGAGTTGCGACTCCTCGTCTCCCCCTGACTGGAGGACGTCACCTGCACATCGGTGCCTTGTACAGGGTAGCTGCTCTGCTGGTAGGGGGTCTCTCTTAGCTCAGGATAGGACGGAGCTGAGTTGATCAGTACTGGCCAGGCTGTTAGGCTCTCTCTCTCTCTTTACAAATTAAGAAGTTTTTGTTATTAATTATAGTTTTAAGGAGCACAGATCACTTTTATTATTATGGTTAGATTAATTAAGTTTTATCAAAATGAATGATTAATTATGTGTGAACAATCAAAATGCTGATGCTTTGCCCATGCTAAAGATTTGCAATAAATTTATAATCCTGCATTTAAAGACAAAATTGACNTTATTCTAAGTCAAGAGTAAAATAGAGTATTTAAACATATCCCTGGGGTTAGTATTTCCAAACCTCTAAATCTATCCTAGCAACTTACCAAGTGCTCGTTCCCTTAAGAGGAAAGCTGCCACTAACAGGCGTGTCTGGTGGGTGATTTGGCTATTGAGGCTACTTAGCGGGGTCACTTATTAGAAGAAGCGGGGTAGGCGTCTGGATTAAGGCAGTCAGAAGCTAGGCGAGTTTCCTCGACACCAGCTTAATCAGTTCAATAGAATCCTATTAGGTCAAGGGCCTGTAGGCAGTTAGAACTTAGCCCTAGTAACGGAGAGCTGGACCAGTAGCCCTGTACGGGGTAGTACCGGTGCGGAAACACAAGACAGACACATGACAACTGACACCAGATCAGTTCTACATCCATCCAGGTGTCTCAGTCTGAACACTGGATCTGGTTTCTGGTCATTTCCTCTGTAACCAGCTGGTAGCATCAATCAGTATTATGGGATGTATCATAGTGTGAACAGTAAGCGTCCACCAGTCTGACAGAGTAATATATTCAAACATACAAAATTCTGAAAACCTACAGTCCAAATAATCCTATTAATGTTAGTAATTAAGTGGAGGCTTCACAGTGACCTGTGAATGCCTCACTGCAGGAAAACTGTGCAGATTTTATACGTATTTGTGTATTAAGAAGCAAAAGAAGATATTTTTAAATTGTGTTTAGACGTATTTACTGTGAAATTCAGGTAAAGGTGAGTCATGTGCCACAGTAGCTAAAAAATATGAGCAGCACGAACAGCGGCCGGACCACACGGAACAGAAACCTCCATGTGCTGCTTTGTGACTCTATAAGATGGACAGACATTCAGATGGAGCACACGGAGAGCGACTGAAGGCCGGAGCTGCTGCGATGGAGCCAGAAGAACAGATTTATGTCAACCTGGAGGAGCTGGGCGTCCCTGTAAAGGCTGGTAGGACTGTAACTACTGAACATTATATACTGGATGTTAAGGTGTGAGTCTGAGCTGTGAAACCGTCAGTCGGATCCTGAAACAAACCAAAAAGACAGAAAATAGCTTCTTGTCACAAAATGAACCAACATGTGGTCAGAAGACGTTCCTCTGACTGACTGAATTCTGTTCTTCTTCATTTTGGAATTAAAAGAAGAAGAAGAAAAAAGTATAATTTTGAGCAAACGTGATTATTTGTTGAAGATTTATTTGTCCTTCTGTGATAAATGAAAATGAACAGATGGTAAAACTCATACGTTTGTATGTTTACTTGAGTAAAAGCAGAAAAGTATCAGAATGAAGTAATAAAAGATGCAGATTTATGTTTGACAGGATTATAATTATGGATGCATTCATGTGTTTGCAGCTGGTAAAGATGATTTAACTACTTTATATCTGCGGTTTTTCCATCAGGGATCAATCAAGTTTTATCTGAATCTGTGTTATCACATCAAAATGTGTTTGTTAATGATGTTTTTTAATATTAAACTAAACCTGAAAAGTTACCAAATTTACACAGTGCCGTAAAAAATATATGTACAAGCAGATGTTTGAAAAATGACTTATTGTGATTCATCGATGGCTCAGTCTTCAGGTTATCGTGTTCATTGTTTGACTGATGCCCTTTACGGGTAAAAACGACAGAACAAAGCAGAAAAATGAACTGAAATCTTTTGTGAAGCCTCAGAAGAGACGCGTCACGTGGAAGTAAAACCTCAAAAAGCCGTTTTCAGCCTTGACCTTTAAATACACGTGACCACTCGTCTGCACCTGTGAGGTGATGATAACGTACAGAACAAAATAGGGGTCTTAAAATGTCCATGTTTTACTTTTCTAGGACTCATCACCTGAACTCAAGTCCAGCACCTTTCCTAGAAGTTTATTTTATCTATTTAAAATGTGCAGTTTTCATGCTCTAGCTTTACCATTAAATATTAGAAATGTGTTATTATTTCCCCTATAGATACACCACTGTTTGCTTTTATTATAAATATACTTATAAAACACAGAAAATGTGCAGATTTGTGTTAAAGAATATGAATATTTTTGTGGACATGATGCTAAAATGTGTCCAAAATGACCTAAAATTCATCCTGAATAACAAACTTTGGTCCAGATTGTCTCCAGATTTGTCCAAAACGACTCAGACAAGAACCTACTTTCATTGAGTTATTTGAAGAACCGTTATTGGTGAATGAAGGAATCGTTGTTTGATGGTTCTCTGGAGGTTCCTTTTATAACATCGCTCTAAACAACCGTCTTTGGTTCCAGACATCTCAAACATCAGTTCACATCTTTATAGTAGAATTCCTGCAACAACCAGAGCAGATGTGTTCAGAAAAGCCGTCCCGTGTCGTCTCACGGTAACCTTGTTGACCTGCAGAAACCAAACCGGGCCCAGAGGAGGAACCTGGACGTTGGGTTCCTCTGAAAGCCGCCGCCGTCGCTCTGCTGCTGCTCAGCCTCCTGCTGGCGGCTACAGTCGCTGCCGTCGCCGCACTTTGTGAGTATCATGGAGAGAAAGGTCCGGTCAGAAGGAGAGCTTTCTGGTTCTGATGTGGTTCTGTCCCGGCAGACAGCAGAGACTTCAGCCGCCTGTCCACTCATCTGGCCAATCACACGGCAGAGAGGCTCCAGCTGCTGGTCCGGTACCAGAACCTGAGCCACGAGAGAGACCAGCTACAGACCAGTTTGAGCAGAGTTCTGAAGAACGTCGGTGAGGATCCGGCTCACAAAGACCCGCTACTAAGCAGAAATGTTCCGTTTTGATTTACAGGTTTTCCCACACTTTGAAACACACAACATGAAGACCAGTTCTGGACTGGATTTAAAATGGTGTTGGGCTGGTGCTGGACTTAATGCTGGACCTGTGTTGGACTGATTCTGACATGGTTCTAGACTTAGATTTGGACTTGGTTTTAAAGTAGTTTAGGACTGTTGTTGCACTGGTTTTACACTGATGTTGCACTTGGACTAGTTTTGAACTTGATCTAGACTGGGTTTGGACTGATTGGTTTTGTTTCTGGTTTAGACTTGATTTTGGACTTGTTTTGGTCTGGTATAAGAGTGGGTTTGGTTTTGAACTGGTCTTTGGACATGATCTTGGACTGGTTTTAGATTTGATCATGGGCAGGTTTTAGGACTGGTTCTTAACTTGGTTTTGGACTTGAATTTGGACTAAATATTGGACCTGCTTTGGACTGATTCTGACTGGTTTTGTACTGGTTTTACATTGGTTTTGTATTTGGTTCTGGACTTGCTTTTACACCTGGTGTTATGCTGGTTTGGAACCTGTTTTTGAATTTGATTTTGGACTTGGGTTTGGACTGGCTCTAGACTTGTATACTCGGTTTTGTAGTGGTGTTGGACTGGTTTTGTAGTGGTGTTGGACTGGTTTTATAGTGGTATTGGACTGGTTTTGGAGTGGTGTTAGACTGGTTTTGTAGTGGTTTTGAACTGGTTTTGGACTTTCCAGCAGCTACATGTTTCTTCCTGCGTGTCTTCAGGATCGTGTCCAGGTGGATGGAAGAAGTTCGGCTGCAGGTGCTACTTCTTGTCTCCAACTCAGAGCTCATGGAGCACCAGCCGACAGCAGTGTTCAAACCAAGGAGCCGAGCTGGTCGTCATCCGCAGCCAGGAGGAAATGGTGAGTTTATCTGCAGAAACAACCAGCGTGTCTGAATCTGAAGCAATGATGTGATTTTTCCTCCTGAAGGTGTTTCTGAACAAACTGGGAGATCGTCTGAAGTTCTGGATCGGTTTAAAACAGACATTTGGCAGTTTTAACTGGGAGTGGACTGATGGAAGATCACCTGCAACCACGTAGGTGTTACAGGATCAGCAGCAGATTATTTAAATCAGATCACGACGTCATGAATCTGCAGCTAAAACAGTTTGCTAAGTCATTTCTGTCTCAGTGTGAGAGAATCCAAACGTTGCATCGGAGGTAAAACACCTTTTTGAACCTTAAAAACACTCATTATGGTCGAACATGCATCCTAATGATTTTCTTTTCTCGTTTTCTCCTTGGACTTATATTTACTTTCTCTCCAGGTTCTGGCGGAACAGACAGTCATTGTATCACGGCTACAGGACTCAGAGATGTGCAGCTTTTAACAGCTTTGAGGAAGGAAACTTTAGGGGAACGTTTCTTTCATGGAGCCGTGAGCTGTGTTCTCAGAACCTGCAGTGGGTTTGTGAGAAACCTGCAGAATATGTTTGAGAGAAAAGACGTTTCACATTATCAGTTATGAAACACGGTGATGATAGCGATGTGAATTTCAGAAGAACAAAATCAAACGTCCCCAAAAAACAACGAGTTCTCAACAGCAACATCCCCAGAACATCCTCACAACATTACAGGCAAAGAGTTCCATCTTTGTTAGTACAGTCGTGACTCGATCATCGACCCTTAACAATCCTAAACCTGCTATCCGACAGGTTTGTAGGAAAAACCAACAGAGCCCATAAAAACAGCCTTAACATAGCGACAGCCTTGTATTGTGACTCCGACATGACATTTAATGTCACCAATCAGGATGACGGCGTATTATCTGACTGAACAATCCCACAGATTGGCTACGTTCACACTGCAGGACTCGATGCTCAATGAGGATTTCTTTGTGACTTCCTTCACGTTTCCACTTCAATGCGACTTGTATGTGATCTGCTGTGTGAACTTCATACGAGCCAAAAGTGTCCCGCATGCGCAGAAGAGGACACGACGACGTCACACGCAGCGAGCGTGCTCAGTGTTTATGGAAGTAAACATGGATGGTAACGGTGGAGCGTATCTGCCACTCCCCCGCCGCCACCGATGGAGGAAACAGAAGTGTGAGCGCTAACTAAACTAGCATCAGCAGCCAAGTACTGCCTGTGTGTTCTGGACACTTCCACCCCGTCAGAGCGCTGCCCCGGGGTGGAAGTGTCCCCCGACCGCACAGAATGTTCTGATATTCATCATTAACTGGGCCTGAACATCCAGAGAGCAGAAAGTTCTACTGGGACCAGCCCTACTAGTTATTATAACAACTATGAACAATAATGAACAACTAATGAGCCTTCCAGCATCAAGCCCTCCTCGTATCTGGACCTCCGTCTGGACAATCTGACAGCCTTGCTATCCGACATAGAAGAAGGTTTTACATTTAGTGTCGGATCATCGAGTCACGACTGTATGTGAAATTACAGGAAGATTTGACCAGAGCACATTCTGTCCTCTGAGGCATTTTTTGAACGTTAGCTTTGTTATCACGTAAAATAATCTGACAGCATCTTCTGAAAGTTCAAACGTTCTCTCTAAGTTCACTTTTAACCTCACAGGAACATGATGGACATCCTCAACGTTCTCCGCTTGCTGGACAACATCTCTTTACTTTACTGCTGCACCACCGAGCAGCTCTGTGTTGTTTGATTTCTGAAATAAGAAGATCAAAAACCTCTGCTGTAATGTCCAAATAAAGCTCTTTAAATCATGCTGAGTCATATTTGCCTCTAACAGAGACAAAGCAGCAGAACGGAGCTGAAACATCAGAGGATGGATGCAGTGATCCAGCAGCACCACTGGGGGCAGAACTCACCTTCTGACTGCTGCTCAGCTGCAGCCCGTTGAAACTCATGTTTAAACTCCATAGTTAAAGTTTTAAGAGGTTTAACTCAGCTGATGGAGGCTGATTTCTGGGTGTAGCTTCATGTTTTCTGTTTCTCTGGTACTTTGCTGTCATTCAGAGTATTTTACATTTCTTGCATTCTTGGGTGTGGTGTGGAGGTTTAAATAACCTCTACGGCCTGTTTGTCTGTTTGTGAGATTACACAAAGCTGCCAGTCTGAATGTTATTAAAGGGTTATTAAAAGGTTTGTTCAGCTACATTCCACTCTGACCGTAACGTTTGGGACAAAGACTCGTGTTCTTCTTTATTTGCGTATTGCGGCCAAGCCTTGAGGAAACCTGCTCGCAGCACGAGGCCCTTCTCACGCCTCCCACTCCCAAGAAGGCCAACAAGACGAGTGTCAGCGAGTTCACAGTTGTATTTTTTTAACACAAAGGAGCAGAGCCCTAAACCAACAAAACTCCTTCACCTAATAAAAAAAAAAAACAGTGCTCAAACCAAAGACAGGTTTCTACCCTAATGTTCAAGAAAACAACACAAGAAACAAGGAAACCAAAGGGATGCTCGCTCACTGCAGCTGCTCAAACATGGGTTCTATGTACAGGTCCATGTTCCAGTTCTGATCGTCTAACGCTACATAAGACAAACCCAGACCCCAACAACACTGATACTGCTCTGTGACACACAAGGTCCTGCTCATGCTACATACAACAGGCTGGCTTTTGTTGGACATCAGAGAGAGAAGAAGAGGACGAAGAGGAGGCTAACCTCTGTTTAAAAAGAGCAGCTCCCTGGGCGCCGCTATAGCTCACCTGGTGGAGCTGGCGTCCCATGTGTAGGGCTACAGTCCCGACGTGGAGGTCACGAGTTCGAATCCCGCTCATGACCCTTTCCCACACGTCCTCCCCCACTTTCCTGTCTCTCTCTCACTGACCTATCAAACAAAGGCCAAAAAAATAACTTAAAAAAAAAAGAGCAGCTGGGCCAATCCCACGGCTCCATCTTCCTCCACCTCAGCCAATCGGACAGCTCCACCTCTTCTGGGGAAATGGATGCCGTCCAAACATGGTGTCAAAAGACAATAATATGACCCAGGGTCCTTACATGCTCCACAGCTTACATGTGATTAAACGACACTTTACCGGTGTGTACATGTTACAGTGCAGACAATGTGGCATGTAGTGTCATCACAGCGGCACAGATCAATTTGGAATGTGTAATCTGTAACTACGCAAGTTACAACATTCTGGTAACGGTCGTTTATCGATCACCACCCTATCCCATGTCTTTGTTTAAAGAGCATCTTGGCAAGTTACTGGATTGGCTAGCTCCACAAAGTAACACGACTGTCATCATGGGAGATTTTAATGATGACCTTTTGAAGTCATCATCAACCTGCTCACTTGTAGTGGATGAAGGCTATGTGCAAGTTGTGGCAGAACCCACAACAGAGAGTGGCACACTAATGACCACGTGTATGTGAAAACATCACGGTATGAAGTGGAGTCAATTGTGTGGCCAATGTATTTTAGTGACCATGAGGGTATTGTCTGTGTTTTTAAATGAAAAGGCAAAGTGGCATTTGACCTTTTCACTCTTGCAGTGTGTGAACCAGTGTACAAAGTTAATTGTAGGGAAAAGGTTTGTTTCGTGGCATTTCAGTTTCTCATGTTCTAGTGTGTCGTTGACGTTCGGCCAAGTTTTATTTCCAGAGGCCATCAAGATGTTGTTGTATTGTAACAAACAAACAGGAAACAAACTGAACAAAACCTTCATGACAACAACACAAGAAGAACTTTGCTGATTCTGATGACGTTTCACACAAATGTCTGAGAAGACAAAATGATGAATTAATTATATTAAATCTGCACAAACATGGATGTAAACTACAATTTGGCTGGTTGACAGAAACGCAACCACAAGACAGTGGTTCTAGTTTTAGTGCATTATGAATAAACTGGACCTGGAGGAACCGGTTTAAATGGAACCCTGTGAGAACAACCAGCGCTCAGGACTCAGTTACAGGCCGACTATTGTCTGCAGTGTTTTTATTCCTTTTCTCTGGAGTTGAACGGTCACAGAACGCACCATTCACACCTGCAGGCCCAGAGATAATAAAACAAACCGCCTGCAGATAAGAAACAGAGACGACAAAGAGCGCTTCATGTCGCCTAACAGGGAAGAGCAGACGGAGGCTGGTTCTAAATGTGGATATAATGAAGTCATTGAAAACATCACCTGGCCTGAGGTGGAGTTAGATCATTTACCTTCTTTGTTTGGTTTTTGAGTCACTCCAGAAACTGACATTTCCAGTTTCTGCTGCTCACTTTCTCCTACATCGAACCTTTTGAACTTTATTTTCAGGATCCTCGAAAACAACGACGAACTTTCTTACAGTCACATCTACTGACCAAAGTCACACCGGGAGGACTATTAATAATCCGAAAAATCACAAAACTCATCCGTGCAAGACTTTATTTCAGTCAGGTTTAGTTTAAATGTGCACATCAGGCCACTGAGATTGAAACAACTGCGTTCTTCACTTGTTATTCTCCATATGTTCTCCGATCTTCACTGATTTTGGTGCAAATATTCATCATTCAGGTTTCAGGGGGTGCAGACGACATCCTCACCAATCACAACATGTGTATTTGCCTCTCACAGTAAAAAACCTGAACAAAGACGAGACCCTGATTTTAAATTCTGTTCATTCTGTAGAGATAATATTAAAAGACTTGTGCAAGAAGTTTGTGTCTTCAGTTACATGAACAAGAAACTTTTCCATCACAACTTGATGCAAAAAAGGAACAAACTGCTGCATAAAGACTCATGTCCAGGTGTGTTTACCTGGAGGAGAGAAGCAGCAGGACGGAAGAAGGTGACGTTCTGGATGATGTTCTGCTGGGAAACCTGGAGTCCTGCCTTCACGTGGACACCTGAACATTCCTGCAGACCACGTCCACCTTCATGGCAGCTTCGTTCCCTGATGGACTCCTTCAGCAGGACGACGCTTCCTGTCGTGGTTAGAGGAACATGACCAAGAGTTCAAGGTGTCGACTCGGCCTCAGAATTACAGAAACTTCCAGAACTTAAAGGTTCTGCTGTGAAGGTCTTGGAGCCTGAAACCACAGAACGCCTTCAGAGGTCTGTGGACTCCAGACCTTGACCAATCAGAGCAGCTCTGGGGGCAGGTGGACTAACATGGTATTCAGCAGCTGGTTTCATGTTGTGGTGAAGCCATTCGTACTTCAGGTTGAATTCATCTGAATGAGCTGCATTGTGTTGAGGGAGCAGGTTGCTGTAGCTCCTGTCAGAGAGCTCACATTATCTGAGACACGACACCATGCAGAGCAGCTGTCAGATCTTCTGACCAGGGAGGTTCTACAGCTGCACACTGTGTGAACTATTTGTATATAAGGACTTCCAGTCAGCTGTGATGCAGCGTCTACAGAATGTGTTAGTCAAGAAGAGAGGAATGTCTGGACTGCAGAAAGTAAACCACACGTCTCCATACAAAACATCTTTATTAGCTCGAAGGCTGCAAAGTAAAAATGTTCTCACAAGAGAAGCAACGTAACGCTGAACATGAAGTAGCCTGAGTAAAGGATTCAGTGGCAAAGCAGTGAATACAATCACAGGAAAGAAATAAATACTAGATAATGAAATGTGTACAGGACCGTGGTACTTCTGATTAACTATAAATAGTACAGGTTGATAATGATCAGTCTGTGTTCCTTCATCTCTGGTATCAGTGAAGTTATGACATATTAGCATCGGACTGTGGCAGCGCCATGCGATGAACCTCCAGTCGGTCATAAACTGTTGTCAGATTGGAGCGATCAACAGATCCTGAAGAATCCTGTAAATTTCCTCCCTGCAGAAACAAAAACACAGAACGTAAGCAGTGGACTGAATGACTTCAGTGGGAGTCAAACCAGTAACAGGGAGTGTCTGGACCCAGCCACAGGGAGGAACTGATGCAACTTTGGGTCCTTTCCACCCTGGATTTGTAAAATACAACCAGAATATGTGCAGCATTTCTGTTGCAGCACATTTATGTTTGTTGTCAGCAGGTAATTTGATGTGGATTGTTTGGACACATGGTGGCGGTAGTTGGACACAGGGGGGCAATATGTAGAGGGCACAGGTGACAGGAAGAGGAGGGCACAGGTGACAGGAAGAGGAGGGCACAGGTAGGGGGAGAGCCAACAGATCTCACCAGATCAGCAGCAGACCAGTATCAAGCCTGCACAGATACCAAATTCACAGCAGGAAAACCGCTGTATTTTCATTGCATGTGTATCATCAAATAAACATCCACTAACGGCATGTATAAGGACCGGAGATCCTGTTTCTGATCTGCGTCGGCTCACTCTGTTCTACCTGTGCAGCAACGGCAATTACAGGACACTGAAAAATTGCCATTACATTCCTGTTGCAGCACATTGGGTGGAGCAGCAGTTGAGGATTTTCACATCACGTTAGACAACATCAGCTTCTCTCTACTGTTACTTTGCTAAAACCACTGCTGCTGCTCCAACCAGCGACCGTGAGGCTCAGACGTCAAACACAGAGACTCGTTTCTCAGAACTGTTGGTTTCTGAACCTTCTTGTGTTATGAGTGAAGCTTCTTCTGTTTTTAGAATAACTGATAACCATCGAGAAGCTGTTTGCAGACAAACAGTGTTCAGTGAACCACAACAGGACATTTGTCTAAGAGGTGTGGCGCCATAAAGTCCCAGCAGACATGATGACATGACTGTGGGAGGACAGATGAGCAAACACTTCTGCAGAGCTTCTCAGTAACAGAACCAAGATCACCACAAAATATTACCCCATTGTATAAAGCAGAACCAACCTGACTGTGTCTGTCGGGACAGATCTGTACTTCAGCGTACAGCACTTCCGGCTTTGTGACCGCAGAATCTGCAAACACACAAAGTTTAAGTTAAAGTTTAAGTTGTAATTAAATAAAACTTTATTAATGAAGCACATTTCAAAACCACGATTACAAAGAGCTTCAACAGAACAAATCAGACAGGAAGCATCAGTAAAATGCTCCTGAGACCAGATTTAAAACAGTCAGACTTCATGTTCATCAGCCAGAGCAGCACCGGTCTTTGTTCTGATGAGCCGACTGGACAGGTACCGTGGGTCCAAACCCCTTAAAAGTATGAAAAACGGTTTGAATTCAGTCCTGAATCTGACCAGAACTCAGCGTAACGAAGCTGCAGGAACAATGGAGTCTTTGTTAGTCGCTCAGTAAAGTTCTGAACTTTCTCTGAATGTTCTGTGCTGCTTCTGGGCTTCAACAAGAGAACAGAACTTCCTGATAGTCCACACGAGAGAAAAAAACAATGAACGATTTGTTTGAGCTGCTGCAACAGGGAAGGGTGTAGCTTGGCCAGCTAAAGGGGAATTCTGGTTTATTTCAGCCGCTGTTTTCCCCATAAGCGTTTCTATTGTGTCTCTACGAGTCGTACTAACTCTGCTCTACAACACTCAGAGGAGTCGCACTAAACAGCTTGTGAGCTCCCAGCAGATCTCCACAGACGCCTGATGTTTACAGGAAGCTGAACAAGGCCGTTCCAGGTGACTGACTTCTGTGCTTCCCTTCAGTCAGACCGTAAAACAAAAGTTTGAAATGATTCATGTAGAAATCTGGTTTCTTTGAAAAGCTGCAGGGAAAGTTAGCATGACCCACAGAAAGACATTGATGGGAACCATGCCAGAGTGAGATTAATCAGAAATCTCCTTCAACACGACTGAATAAGTGACTTTAAATTCCTGTAAAATGATTTGTGTCAGCTCTTACTAAGAAAAACATGTATTTGACAGAATAAATGAGACAAACAGGTATATGCAGGATAACTTCCAGTTTAAAGTCTTTTCAACATCCAATATGAGGTTAAAGCTGTTAAATATTAACCAACAGCAATAACTTCTCCGGGTATCTTGTTCATGCACAAACAGTGTCTCCATAGAAACTTCCTCAGTTGGCGTCAAGCTAGTGATTGATGACTCCCACAGACATCACGGTTGCCCAGGTAGGCTGGAATTAGGGAAGTTTGAACATGATAAATGATTTACAGTAAACGGTCAACGCCGCAAAACAAGAAGCTCTGTGTCCCCCCGGATTCCTATCAGAGAGAAGTTCACGTCTTCCTGCAGTAAAGATCCTCCTTTGGTTCAGATGGTAAATATGCCTCAAATACCAGCTTTTTATGCTGATGTATTTAGGTCCTGACGTCTGCAGGTAGACTCACTCGGAGCCAGTGGCAGCTGGTGAACATGTTTGGTGGGGGGGGGCGCAGTCTGCAAATGACCTTTTATTTAAAATCAGAAATTAGAATATGAGTAACATCAGGCCCAACTATTGACAGGAATGCAAATGTTCTACCTTTGGAGGATGTTCTAATCATAATATAATTAAACATTATTAAGACTGACCAGAACTAAGTTTCAAAACCATTCATCAAACTTTCATCAGTATTTACAGGATCTGTACAAACTCAAAACACATCAGTAATGAAAAAAAAAACACTGTTCAGGGCTCCAGACGAACTCTTTCACTGGTAGCACCAGTACGACCCACGTTCTCATTTTGTTGCACCTCCCACCTGGTCAAAGGCAAAACATAGGACTTGCTGAACATTTTCTGATGGATAGACGATTTACTGATGGTCCCTGAACGCCCCACACAGCAGGCTGAGGTAGCTGCTGGTTGTGGCTGTGCTGCTCTGACAGGTGTGTGACCAGGAATGACTTTAAACATGATAAACTGGGCGTTCTCATGTCACACTTGTCTGAGGTTAAACCCAGTTACATGGATTCTACATGCGGTCTTTTCTATGAGCGGGAAAACGCTCAGTTTTTCACAAGAACACCTCATTTTGAAGCGTAAATGCTGCGGTACACCTAAATTATAAACGCTCTACTTTCCACCACTGTGGTCCACACAGCAGCTTCCTGTGCCGGTTACAGCGACACTAATTCAGCTTCATGATCATCAGTTCACACACTCTCAAAATAAAGGCCGCAGCTATCTGAACAAAACACTGTCTCTCTCTGCTCGGCTAGTTTCTCTGTGACTTTTTGGTTGAAGTCACTCATCATCTCAGTGAGCACGACCAATCCCTTCAGCCACCAGGACAGTAGCTGTGACCTAGTAGAGGAGGAGGGGGAAGGCGGTGTGGCGGCGTCAGACAGCCCAGCCGTAAGAATGTCAAGACAAAATTAATTGGCTTACAGCAAAAGTGGGCGGGTCCGAGTTGTGCCCCGTGAGAAAGTCTGCAGCTGCCAATCAGAGCCCGGGCCGAGGTCACATGATCACGAAAAGCGTTTTGAGCTACATACACACTCATGTGGCCACGCCCCGCATCCAGGAAGTGTAGAACTAGTGCACACGCAGTAACGACTATTAAATCTGTTAATAATATAAAAATAGTTAACGTAGCAAAAGAATATGAACGTTATTATTAATTTTATTATTATTTTGTTGTAAATAATTCAAATTTAATGTTGTGTTTGAGAGCTACATTTCATCTGGTCATTAGTAGCGGGGCGGCGCCCCTACGCCCCGTATGGACCAGCCCCGTATGGACCAGCCCCGTATGGACCAGCCCCGTATGGACCAGCCGCCACCGCTCAGAGGTCTGTGGAACATTTAATCCACCTACTGATGAGGAGCTGACTTACTTCCTCTGCGTCCATTACACTGGTTGATGATGAGGGGTGATACAGTCCTATTTACTGAGAGGAAACAGTGTGAGCCGGTTTGAGGGTTAAACTCACAACACACTCTGCTTCCTGAGAGATCAATATTTGCCTGGTGCATCCTGTATGGTTCTGGGAAATCAGCTGCTCATTATCTCATCATTTCGTCTGCAGCTACTCTGCTTACTGGCAGAAACAGAGCTGCTCTGGTCATTTGACCAGATACCCTCTCTGATTATGTCTGCCTGTAATGTAAAATGTAAAGACCAGTTCTGTGTATCAGGAGATGGAAGCAGTGAGGCGTTGAATCAACAACATAACGGAGGTCCAGAGTTTGACAGGAAGCCACTCCACTCTCTGCATCCTGTTTTCTGAGTGCAGCCATATCCTTTGCCATCATCACCAGCAAGAAGGCCTGTACTCACTGAACTGCTCATAAATAAACATAAAGGATCATTCTGGTTCATTTCACGCTCAAAAATAGTCATAAAATTATAAAAATAAATACTAATAGTAATACATTTGTCCAGAATGGCCCATAGAGACACAACG